GGAGGAAACAAGTCCGGAGTCCGATCCCGCAGAGTTCGGGGAAGGCAGAGACAGACTCGCTTTGCATTGGCTCGCCACACAACTATACACTAGCAGCATGGCTGCATGGCTTGGTACGCGGGCCTTTCCCAGCAGCGAGCCCTGCTTTTTTTGTTGCATTGCGGACAACAGTTTTGTGGTATGTCCGGGAGGTCCAACTTCCGTCTTGAGACGAGAAAGTCCCTCGATGGTGCCTCCCGGATGGCGGTAGCTGGTATGCCGTCCGCCCACATGTCCGGATCATAGTGAAGCTTCTTGATTGCCACCTGGAGAACAAAACTGCCTCCTCACTTGGAGAAAATGGGCCCGGGCGAGAAACGAGGGACCACACCAAGCGGATCCCAGGCGCTTCGGCCCTGGTTTGTAGGTACCCCTTCGCGATGTTCCTTTGGGTTTTTTTCTATTGGGTGGCAAGCCCTTGGTGACCTACGAAACCAGAGGAACTTGAAAGGAATGGGTTCTTAAGCGCCCTGTAGCTAGAGGAATTGTTTCCCTTTATGTTTAGTTGGTTGGCTCTTGGTGTTTTCGGTTTCCCTGAAATCCACTTGGGGGGCCAAAAGAAAAGCCCTAGAAAAACGGCCTTTTCCGTTTCGTGGGAGAAGAAAGGGAACTCGACCAAGAGATGTGCCGCCACCAAACTCCCCAACTGACGCTTTGCCTGCCGCGCAAACCAGTTGTCAAACAAGGCAACCCGATTTTGCTGTTTGTGCTGTTGTTAGTTTTGCTTTTGCGTTATTTTATGAAGAAAAAAGGAACAATTTCGAACGATATCTTATTTTTATTTTGCATTCGAGGCTTTGTGTATCCTTTCCTCCTCCCATCCTACGCCATCTCTTGGCTGTAGACAGGATGGTGACAGGAAAGGGATGTAGGAAGGGAATGGCGGCATAGCGTCAATGAGGATATCAGGTAAGAGAGAATTAGAATGAAGAATCCAGATGACGACATTCTAGATTCGTCCTCTCTCCAGTCTTTTTCTTTCTCACACCTAAGGACTTCCCCAACCAAATAGTTCTTGTCTCTCTGGAAGTCCATTTGGTCGTGAATCAACAATTGGGATGGTGAACGAATGGAGGGAGTTCCTCTCATCCCTTCGCCATCCATTTCACATCTCTTCCCCAAATACGTGATTACTAATGAAAAGGACTCGAGATTGGGGAAGCAATGGTCAAAGATGTGAGCTTCAGTCTCACAACATACATAAGAAAAGTAAAGTGGTATTTCAAGATCACTTGAGCTCCCACTGATGCCACACCTCTTCAGTCATTTCACAAAGTCAGACTGTCAAGCGAGCTGTGCGCAAGCGGGATCCTTCGTTTTCATTCTCCGGGGCCGGAAATGGGTTTCAGTTTTGGAGTTCGATCCCATTGCTGCTGGGTGTTCAAGGAAAACCAGCAGGAACAACACCACAATTTTCGACAAAAGACGAGCCACCCAAATGGAAGTTCGCGCTCTCGAACATTTTGCACGTCGCCACCATGCTGCATGCGGAGGCCCCCCCCCCCCTCCCCCCTGCCATTTTGAGACAAAGTTGGCCCCGTTTTGCAGGTGGCTTAGAGCCCACCCCCCACCCCCCTACATTTTGAGACGAACCCCCACCCAAAACCCGCAGCGAGCACCTCCTGCTTAGTCTCTAGGTTCACAGCTTTCGTGACGCTGCCGTACACTCCCTTGCCAAGCTCCTCCTTCACCTGCGAGTTGCGGAACCTTTTTTGGTTCGCAACGCTGGGTTTCCATGGGACCCTTTCAAACTGCAGTTATGGGATCCCTAAGCAGGGTAGGTACAAGGGAGGTGAGTAGTTCAGTGGTGCTTGCGGGCTCCTTAGGGTTTTAGGGTTCGTTAGGGTACCTTAGGTTGCCTTGGAGAATCCCCCCGCTTGGCTCCAAAATTGCCAGAGTCTGTGGGAAAAAAAGCATCGGAAGGATGTGACACAGAGTACCGATTCAAAGGCGGAAACGAGATGTAGTTGACGAAACGAGAAACCTCACCGAAATGTCGGGAAACACAACTGGTGCTCGGAAACTCGCACCTCAAAGGGTACGAGTGTGATTGAAATTGGGGGACTCTTCAGCTTCCTTCCAAGTGAGCCCCGTGGTCAGGCATGGTTCGCCCATTTACCACACAAGCAGGGACCCGAACAAATCCAAATCCAAACCACCAGTTCAGGAGCGCCTGAACCAAGTTGGGGTAACGGGACATTTACGCGATGCCGAAAGGGCTTTCCCTGAAACGAAAAAAACAACAAAACAAGGCAACTTCTAACCAGGCTCAAAACCGTGCCCCCCATCCCCCCCCCAAATGCTTCCCCATTGCCCCCCAGGTCTCAAAATAAGGAACCGTAAACAACACACCAAAACACAAACAACAACACAACAAACGTTTTTCGGCAGATCCAGGCACGAAGACATCTCACAACCAAATCCCTTTTTGTTGCCTGGGCTCCCGCAAAGCCGGAGCGAAAAAACAATCCAACGTCGAACAAATTCCAGTTGTTTAAGCAACCTGGGAAAAATATGCCCAGTAGTGATGGATTCCCTGCAAAACCAACAAGGAAGAACAACGAGTCTTAAGCAAATGGAAGAAAAACGTCAAACCAAACAAAACGCCAAGGCGCCAAATACTTGCCGCATAGGCTGGTGCCTTCGTTGGCCAACAAGGCCTTCAGGCCCTCGTGCTCCTGCACCAGCCTCGTCTGGCAACACCCCGCGGATTCGCGGGGAGCCAAAGGCACAAAGACAGTGGCCCGAACATAATTTTGTACCAACCTGGACATTCACAAAAAGGTGGGTTGACCTCCCCTAACAAAACAAGCGAAGGGCCCAATCTGAAAAGAAACTAGGAATCAACCAGGAGTTGTTGCCGCTGCAAATTCCAAATAAACGCGAGCAAAATGATTCCCTTACATGTGGCTGTCGCAAAAAGATGTGTGTTTGAAAACTACTCTTGGCAACACCGGACCCAAGCTGCTCCCCCGCTTTGGGCGTATTTCCTTTCCCTGCAAAACCAACCCAAGCAGGTACCAACTCAAGAGACCGTTGTCAACGAAACGGGGTTGCGTCTCAATGAATCGGTGGTTCAAAGTTGGCTGTCAAAAAACGGCACAAAACGCGGGTATGCGCAGCAAAGAGACATCCCCATCCCCTGGTTCAAGGCAATTAAACCACTGTCAATCAGGGCAGTGTTTGTAGCTTTCGAAGGGGTGTGGAAGGAACCCATTTTTGGGGTCCCCCAAAGGAGATTCCGAACCTAAACATGGGCCGGTTTGTTCCATGCCAAGGGCAGTATTTTGGACAGAAGCTTTCCCAGGGGTCAAGCTTCTGTTGGGATCAGGGTAGCTCATTGGCTTAAAACTTTCTCCATCTGGAGGGACCGCAAAGATGGGTTCCTTCCGTTAATTTGTAAGGGAATACCTATTCTTTGTATTGTCCTTTGGAGGTTCAGAGCAACCCTGACAAGGCGCACCAACCACCCCACCCCCCCGCGTGTGTGCCGTGCGATACGATTGCTTGGCTTGGCTTCAAAACAGTGGGCTCACAAACTTGGTGGATCTTTTTTTGGTACCCCAACAAACTGGGCTGCTCCCAGATCTCCTGCAAAAAGTTAACTTCTAGTGGTTTAGTGGTAGTTTACCACGAAACCAACTCAAAAATCAAAAACTAAAAACAAAGAAAAGGCACCGGATGGCTGGGAGCCAAACCAAAGGCTGCCCTACCACAGTCCAACCCAAAGTCGTCTCCGCTCCAAAATCCGGGGCGCTGGTCCGGTGCGAAGCGCACAGCCGAGCCCGACTGCGACACAGCCACCAAGATCGTCTCCTTGCCCGAATTGCAAAGGGATTTGGAGCATATTGGGTGTCTTTATTTGAGGGTACTGTTGAGGGCTCTCTTTTTGTTCACGTTCTTAAAGGAAACCCTAAAGAAGCCGCCAGTTTGTGTGCCCTAAAAAAAGACACACCCGAATGGGTGTGGATCAAAGTTGAAGTTCTAGGCAAACCGCAGGTTTTAGTCTTAGGCTCCATCAGCCAAGGTGCCAAGGTGCCATTTTGGGCACCATTTGTTTGAGCGGGATTTGTGTTCTGCAAGAAGACTGTGTGTTTGTCACCAAAAGGGGCACGTCAAACCCCTTGTCGAAGGGATGATCCTGACCGTCCAGGAGATCGGCATTCATTCGTCAGGTCCCTGCATCCAAAAAGATTGCTCGTCTTAATCAATTTGATTCCCTTCGGGTTGTGCCAAAACATTAGAAGCTGCACATGTCCGGCACGTCCAACTCGTATTTGGCGCCAACCTCCCGTCAAAGTCATTCTGCGCCAAACCCAAATGCCCCTCCCCCCCCAAGCGGCGCAATGCCTAAGCGACGCCCCTTCCATCCCCCGGTCTCCGTGTCTCGACACTGCGGATGCGCATACTGGAGGACATCGCCATCCTGCATGACTGCCGCAAGCACAATCTCGCGGTCCTCGCAGCTTGGAGTTGGAAGCTGCGACTCAGTCTGTGAAACTAAAGATGTAGCCCAATCTAAGTTTATGTGGAAAGTCATGTCCCTAACAAAGGTTGATCAGGGAGGTTCGCCAAAAGTAGGCCTGAGCATCCTGTCCCAGAGACTTGTCTTTCAGGATGCCGCGCTTTGGAACCTCCAACTCAATTACTCAATTTGGGGGGCGACCCAAGGCACACCTGGCCGTAAGTGCTTCAAGCAGAAATGGACTTGTTCAAGCAGAAATGGGCCCTTTGGTGGGCGCCATTTACCACGATTGACGTCCCTCCAGTTGCTTAAGTCCCCAGGAAAAAAATATCCATATGTCCAGCAGATTGCCTTTCGAACAGGGAGAAAACAAATCCTAACATCTTCTTAAGCAAATGGAAGCAGCAATCGAAGCTCGCCCAAACTGACTCTCCTTTGCGAGAAATCGCCCATCCAAAACCGCAGGGTTCGAGCCAAGACATCGCATGTCTCTCTT